GTATTTTGTAAAAAATTCTCTAAACGCACCAGCCGTAATTTCCTGAGACGGTAAACTCCATTGTGCAGACTTTTCCACGCACCACAAAAACGAATCAACGAGTTTGAAGAATATTTGACCTACCGAAGTCTGCGACGTGGTGATCACCACCGATTCTACCCATCCTGTGATACCTTCTGACGGCTTCGGTGGCACCTAACGAATTAAAAAGAAACAGCTGTGTTTTTATATTCATAGACTTAATCAGTCCCATTTTATGTTTTCTCTGTCTTATACGTTTGCAATACATATTACTCACAACGGTAGCAGTTCCTTCCTTCTCCATGGTTAAATTCGATCTGAAAATGAATGCATATTACGAATACATCAATTACTATATTAAAAGTTACAGATATTCAATTTATTCCAGGTAATTAAACCTTTTTTTTTTAATTCTCAAAGGAATGGAACGACGAATTGCAAAGGAAAATATAATATTAAGTAATCCCATAAGTTCGTGACATTAGGAGAAAGATATTCTAATGAAAAAGTAAACAAGCTTTACAGCAATGATATAATGGTTCTATCAAAAAAGTGGGGAGAAATTGTCGAACGAAAAATTTTCCTAAAATTGATTTAAATATCGGTATAAAATTCAGCACGGACTTAATTAACACCGTGTAGGTTTACGGGACGCGTCATTTTGACGCATTTCGAATTTCACAAGGAAAATTACAGAAATCGTTTACATCTCCCTCCTACCTCTTACGCTTATTATGAATTTTACATAAATATATAATATCACATAGTTTCATTGTTTGTTACGGGTTACGCTTTGTGTCCTCACACGGAGCGTAATATTGGTGATACGTCGTACTCCAACAAGTCCGATAGGATTGGAACCTTCGACGTATGTGGCTAATACGTCGTTCTCCGAAGGATGGAACAGTTGGAAGGTTTTGAGGACAGTGCGTATCGTAATGTTTGATATATCTCGAGCGGTGAAGATATATCCTTGTGAGTTTAGCTGATTCGCTACTAATGTTACTCAGGAGAGGCTTGGTTGAAATGAGCGAGTCTGACTTAACGAAGCTATATATTCTAGTATAAATGCGAAGTTACAGGTTGCTTCGATCCAATGATCGGTTACAATGATAGTTAAATAATTAATTGGTCAATTCTCGACTGGGCGAGGATATTCCTTCTCGGTTTACGCGCCGAGCCGCGGGGGTGTTTTAGACCGTATTGAGAATATAGTAATTCTATGCTCGAAAGGGACTACAACCCGATCTTGCTCGCGTTCCGACTGGCGGAGTAACGTTCTGGTAGAAGACTGAGCCCGCGAGCATGAAACGTCGTGCCCATATATACACCAAGAATCGTGGTTTTTGGTGGTGGGGGCCGTAGATTTTTGTAGGAACGGAATGCGTTCGTTTACCCTATCTCGAGGACCTTTTCTAGGAGGTGCGCGCAAGGCGGAAGTCTCGGCGCCGCCGTGTCGGCTAGTCTGCGTACGTAACATGTTTTTAAATAAAATAAGTTGTTTTTTAAAGAAAATATGCGGTTTCGTTCACTCGTCAATTTGATGCGTATCCGTAGAGATACTCTTCGTTCAAAATAAGAATAACCTCGTTTCGCGCATGGGACGTGCCTAAGGCAGGGTTAGAACGTCCAGACCCCCACTTAACTGCCTTACCCTCTACTACGCTCTCTGTCTATGCGCAGAACGGACGAAAATCGATCCGAGAGCGAGGTTATTCTTATTTTGAACGAACAGTAGGTGTATAAGAAATTTCCGTAAACCTAGTGTCAATACTTGTTTGCTACGACTATTAGTGGTTCTTGCTCTCTTGGAAGCTCACTAAAAACTGGAGTGAACTTTTGGTGGACATGAGTGGTGGATCCTTTTCAGGACCATTCTTTGCCCTTGACCCATCGTACAACCTATCACCACTTCCCTGTACTAGCACCCCTAACGTGTTCCTCCTTGGAAGGGGTACAGTGGTACCTGCCCTCACATTTGGCAGGTAGAAATTCGACAACGGTACGAGATTTTCACTAGGACAAGCCTCAGTCCGTGCTTTGGGACCGTTAAGTCCCATTCTGTTCTGTTTATTACTATATATGTCTTAAGCTATTGAGGGACGAGCGAAATGTTGAGTGTTTAATGGATCTCGAGTACACACGGTGCAATAAAATTCGTGGTTTCTTCGTGCAAAAATGAGCTAAAATTGTAGAATAGATTTAATTAAATTTTGTTCGAGAAAAATTGTTAGAAATTTGATCGAGTACGCGTTACGGCTCTTACTATTGCTCGGATTTACGGATATCCGAGTTTTGAACATCCGGGCACTTAGATACCCACAAAATTTATATTCGGATATCCGGATATCTGAATACTTTCCAGTATCTGTACAGGCCAAAGCCAAATATGTGTGAGTGATGCAAAATACAAACGATCATACATTCGAAACAGAGAACTGAATGTGGTTACTTATACATATATGTATATATGTATGTGTGCAGGCTACTATCTTTCATTTGTCGGGCGATCGCAACTAACGATTCTCGATAATTAATCGTTGTCGTTAAGTCGTCAGCTACATACGTTACGTATTGAAAGAATAAATTAAATACAGGGTGGAGCAAATAAAACGTTACAAGCCATTGCAGATATCAACTTGAAATTTTCAGGTGATAAATGGTGTAGAGGGGCTAATACTTTAGAATGTAGAATATTGTAGGGGTGAGTTTCTTAACGGTGGGAAGGGTGCCATCCCCATTTGTTTTAAATGGGATGACATATTAATTTTTCAGAAATATATTCAGAAATATATTATCAAACTTAACAACTTTTATCTAAGGCATTTTTTTTTATTCTGCATAGTTAAGGAGTTGTAGAGGAAAATATCTAATGCAAGGGTAACTCCATGTAGGCGTCGAGAAATATCAAAAGAAATGTATTTTGCTTTAAAAATTATTTTATTAAGTGGCTTAAATTGTGTTGTTCGGCATCTTAAATGTCAATACGAATGAATGAACTTTGATTTTTTTATGGGGCTACATAGAGGAGAAAGAAGAATTTACACCGCATGTACATAAATCCATAACTCCAGCAATGTTATCAAATGTCCACAAAGACATTATCACAAGAATAAATGCGCGTGTTTAAGCGAATAAGCAACTCATTGAACATCCAATAAAATAATTTTCAAAGCAGAATACATTTCTTTTCATATCTTTTGACACTTACACGACATCTATAATTCCTTAACTATGCAGAAAAGTTGTTAACTTTGATAATATAAACTTAAATACATGTAAAATTTTACATTATCATAACGTTTTTTATGATTTTATTGCACGATTTATGAACACTCATCGACCCTTCCATATTATCCGAGGTAGGCTCGGTCCACATCACCTCGGATAATCGAGACTCTACTGTACACGATAATCGTTGGAAGAAAGTAGTGGATAAAATAATGAAAATTTAAAGAGAATATAAGTGAAAACGGAGATCATGATAAGAATTTGCAGAACGACAATTTGCGATGAATACATTATACAGTCCTATCTGAGGGTTCGGATCCTTATCTTCTTATACAGGGTTATCCAAATTAAGTGTCACATCTTCCAACATAATAACCACTTTCTTTAGGTGGACGAACAAATTGAACAATATGAACGTGGACGATATCTGGTTCCAACAAGACGGTGCCACATGCCACACATCAAAGGAAACAGTTGCTCTGCTGAAGGAAATGTTTAATGGACGCATAATTTCACGAGGAGGAGACATCAATTGGCCACCAAGATCGTGTTGTTGCCTCGCAAGAAATCGCGACGAACCCTCGGTTTGGCGGATTATCGTCATAAACTTGTTCAATTACACTTGGCCGCCAGACCGAGGTACCGGTCCTCTCGCGCGTACCGTACCCCCCGTGGAGAGGTCACGTGCGCGGTGGAAAGTCACGCGGCAACACCTGGGAAAAACCCAAAAATGGGGGTTTTCTAATGTTAAGCAACAATCTGGTCCTTAGGGACCACTTGACTCGCTGCCATAAATCCGGCTACAGGATACGCCTTAACAAATTTATTAATTCTAGAACTCCTGATTTTTATTGTAACGGAATAGGAACTCTTGTAAAACGTTGGAAAAAGTGTATAGAATCGAATGGAAATTATTTCGATTAAATGAATTCATTCTAAGCAAAACTACACGTCTTTAAATCTCATCTACAGAAACTACAATTTATTCCCGGACAACCTAAAAGAATATTTTGTAGATAAACACGTAGAAGGTATTTTAAGGTCAACTTTTTTTTTTTTTAAATAAGATCATATGTGTTTGAATACACCAGGCGATCCAGCTCGTCATTTCCTATAAAGAAGTATTAACACATTGACGTCGGGGCGTTTGGAGCCGCGCTTGGGATATGGGTACGGGGTGATTTCGCGTCTTTCCTTTCAATCGCGTTACGTTGAAAGAAACTGCTATGACTTTTTAACTAATTAATATTTTTCAAAGAAATTTTTGAGGAAAGTACTAAATTACCTTTTCGTAAAACGTATACAACTGTTCGAATTTGTGAAACATCTGGTATGGCATTTCTGAAGAGAAATTCAACCATTTATAGCGTTTTATAAATTTATTTTGAGACAGATATGTGAAAATCTCAATGATGTATTTCCGCGTCATTCGAACTCAAGTCAAAAGCCTGAATGGCTCATATGTACGTCATCTGATGCTAATGCGATAAGCTATCTATGCCGAAAAACTATTCGTAAACCGGATCACCGAAGTAAGTCGTGAAAATTCACTCGTATAAAGCTGTGTCTTCGCTATATAACACTGTCGTGTTATAAAACAAATTGTTTTATAACCTTGTTGTACAACATTCTTTTGCAACTTGTTACAAGATTATATCTTTCGATATCATAGCAACGAATCTGTAACAAGTTTCTATTTTTTCCTTTTCTCAGCTCACGTTGAAACTGTCAAATCAACATTCGCATTTATTTTTCCTATTTCGGTTGAATCCATCTCCAGCTCACGCAGCATGCCTCTTACTTCTGTCTTTCAAATTCATAAACGTAGTATTGAGGATCTTTAATTAGCGAATACAGATTGACTCAATCGACTGCAGAAATGGAATACAAAAAAACGGATGCGTAAACCCGAGTGAAAAACAGTTACTCAGTGCTGGGTTGTCGCACGACTTCTTAAAATGCGGAAAAACATACGTTGAAAGAAACTGCTATGACTTTTTAACTAATTAATATTTTTCAAAGAAATTTTTGAGGAAAGTACTAAATTACTTTTTCGTAAAACGTATACAACTGTTCGAATTAGTGA